ATTGATATCATCCAAACCAATTGTCCTCTGAAAGTCAGAATGGGACTTCTTACCAATACCCATGGTTCCAAGGAACTTCCAGATATCTGCGGGGGAAGAGGATATGATGTTGTTAAGAATATATCGGCGTTTTGCGTTGCGTATCATCTGGTTACACCGATTTCTTGCAGTTTTAAAAATGGACCAATTTTCCTCACACCGCTTTTTTCTATATTTCTGAAAGGCTCGGTCTCTACGCCTCATCACAACGCGGATCTCTGTTGTCATCCAAGGTGCTGGCAGCCGCTTTAGCTTTACATTTTTAATAGGAGCATGCATATTATACAGATTAATTAATATGTTATTAAATGCGCTAACTTTTTCGTCTACCGTGGGAGCGGCTGTCACTGTGTCCCAGTTAATTTTAGAAGCATCCTGACACAATTTCTCTACATCCATACGGCCAAAACTACGCAAGTGCAGGATTTTAGGCGAGGGCTTAGGAGGTTTCAGGATATAGGAGAGGAAAATGAGATCATGATGGGAGAAACCAGACGCATAATGTTGACCATGAGTAGAGACAAAGGTGGGGTTTGATGTTAGCATTAAATCGAGCCATGTGTCCTCCCCGTCCGCATTGTGGTGAGTGGCTTGTAGAGGTAGAACATGAAGGCCAACCGACTCGATTATTTGAAGGAACTTATAGGAACGGGATGAGTGCGAAGCCAGGAGATTTGTATTAAAATCACCCATGATGATGTGATGTGAGTATTCTGACCCTAAAGATTCCAGAGTCGTTTCGAGACTGGAGAAATAATCAACAGAGGGGGGACAATATACAACACCAAGAAAAGTTTTAGCTCCCTTCACACATACTTCAAGAAAAAGAAATTCAGCAGATGCGGAGTAAAAGGGCGAGGAGGAAGCTAGAAGTTTATAAGATAAGTCACTGCGGAGGTATATAGCAACACCACCCCCTCTCTTATCAACCCGATCGTTACGTATCAAAGTGAAACCAGAGAGGGGGTAAGTGGTTGAAAGAAGATGGGGCTTCAACCAGCTCTCCGAAATCAGGATGGCATGAACGTTCACGTTAGTAAAGGCTTCACTGTAGTGGCTGGGCACACTTTGTGCATTGATATGACACACATTTAGCGAAGAGCTAGACTGGTCAAATGTATGACATAGAAAATCACCCAGCGTATCAGTTATGGAACAAAAACTATCGTCAATAGATGTAGCAGTTTCGTTGGCAGAAAAAAAAGAATCATCGTCAGCGTTCATAAAAATAAATATAGATTTATTATATATATATATATATATATATATATATATATATATATATATATATATAGTATATGATATAAAATATATAAAATTAATTAAATTATTATTAAAACGTACCTAACTTAGGTTGTAAACCAAGGCGTACCGTCATCTCTGCACCACCCGCCAGCTAACATACGCACCTTAAATTACTAACTTATCAAATAGTAAGCAAAATGAATTAAAAAGATAAAGTAAAACACGAATCATTTGTACGTTAAACACATAAGTATCGAATTGGGTATTACAACAGATAGAAATAAAAAAAAAACATAGACAAAATTATTTCATAGAGTTGATCGGTACACAACGTATATAGACTATAAACTATAACACTACGTGACAGGTTACCGTAATCCGAAATATTACCCTTAAGTTGTCAAACGTCAAATTGGCATTACACTAGAATAGAAATGACAACTGACAATTAAAAATATAACATACAAAAGCATGTTTACATTGTAGTTCGAGAGAATAAAAAGCGAATATTATCTTAGTAATTATAAATACGATATCAATGTTACAAGAACAAGAAAGGAGGATATAATTAGTTTAGAAAAAAAATACAACGCTTAGTACTACTTAGAAACCATTTTGGAGTTACGTACCTATACTAGAAATAAAGCAAAATAAAATTGTATACATTTCACATAAAAAAATTAAAAAAAAATTGAGAAATTTTGTATTAAGGTAATGAAAAGTTAACACACGAAACTACAAACTTCAATTGTCGTCACTTACGAAGTTTTGAAAGAGGGTTCGTTGATCCCACAACTGCGGTCTTGCCCTCAACCAAGGATTCAGCTGCTGATTTGGGGTATTTCTGCTTTAAGGAGTTCAGCTCGTCTAGAGAAGTGATCTTATGCCGGGATCCATCAGCAGATTTCACCACAATTACACCGTCCTGAGTCCAGCAATCACGCATACCAAAATGCTGCCGGGCTTTAGCATGAACAGCTTGACGGGTCTTTATCAAGAATTCTTTAACTGCAATCGATGAACCTTTAAGCTTGGACTTTGACCTCCACACCGATGTTCTAGAGTCAATGTCAACAAACCGTACCAAAATTGGCCGTTGATGGTTTTTACTGACTGCTCCAATCCTGTGACAAACTCTGATGCTAGAGGCTGTAATGTCTGTTAACTGCATCTTGCGAAAAATGCTCACCACAGTGGCTTTACAATCTTCCTTCTCTTCTTCAGTAACACCGAGAAAAATGAGAGCCTTACGACGATGCCTGGTTTCTATGACATCTACCATACGAGAGCACTCAATAATCTGCTTGCGAAGCATCCCAAGCATTGAGTACATGAGCTCACGGAAAGTCCGGAATTCTTCAGCCACCTTTGCAACAGTGTCTTTAGCGGGTCCCCCAGTATGCAGCTGTGCTTCCAACTCAGCCATCCTTTTGGAAAAGCATTCCTCTAGAGTATTTTGAGCAGTTCTTATTTCTTCTAGTTGAGACATTCTGTTGTAAAAATTATTCAAAGTGTGATGTGCTGGCAGGTGGTGAATTTTAAATCAATTTACATGCATAAACATGTAAGTACTAACTAATGATGTATTTTTGTACCAAATAAATACACGAATATTGTACTTTAATGTATTAATTACTTTAAAATATATTTTTGAAAACGTAAGAACGTGTACACTTTTTTCTTCACCTACCGCCAAAAAACGTATTTTACCATCAGACAAAATAACTGCATTTTGAGAACATCTTAAATCCATAAACTCAATTTACTATGGAGTTGGAGGCAAATAATTCCTTACCTTTCCTAAATGTGTTAGTTATTCGAAATCTTAACAACACCTTTGGTCACACTGTGTATAGGAAAAAGACCCATACAAACTGATAATTTAACGGTGAATCTCACCACCATCCTTCACAGTTAGCTACCGTGGCCAAATCTTTGTTACAGAGAGCACCAGGGATCTGTGACAGCAAACACCTGGCCGCCGAGCTTCAGCACGTCAAGCAAGTTCTGCACGACAAAAAGCTTCGGGTCCCGCGCCTACGTCACAGCGACTGAGTGAAGCCGGCCACAGTCGAGCGTGTGCCTGCTGAACTACCATATATCAGAGGTGTCACAGACAAGATTGGCTACATCTTGAAGCGAGCTTCTATTAGAACATCCTACAAGCCGCCGAAATAGATTAGTCAGTTCCTACCATCCGTCAAGTGTCATATTCCTCTACAAGATGCAGGAGTGTACAAGCTTGATTGTGAATGTGGTTTCTCTTACATAGGACAAACAAAAAATCAATTAGAACCCGCGTAAAAGAACATATAGCTGATGTGAAGCATCAACGTTCCGGGAAGTCTGCAGTTTGCGATCATATCCTAGACGGCCCCAACCATTACATCAGATTTGATAAACAACAAATCCTCACGAAAGAACACCGATTCCTACCAAGGATTAACAAACATCCTAATTTCAATAGAGAAGGAGGCTGGGTACTACCACGTGCTTGGGATCCTACAATCAATAAAATTAAAACTAAACCCAAGCATAGCACTGCAAGACCTCAGGACATAGTCGGTTCATTTTGCATAGATCGGACCATAAACAATAATTTAAAAAAAGCTGAAGGTACTCCGGTTTTACAATGACATCGATACGTCAGTCATCTCAGTCCCCCGTGACCATAGGTGCTGGAAAGCACCCGAAACGTCGGAAATTAAAAATAAAAGTAATTAAAAGTAAAATAAACGCGATAAAATCCGTAAAAGTAGTTTTAATCAAAATCTACACTGAATAAAAAAAGTTTCTGTTTCTGTTTATGTAAAGCTTGAGATGAACGCGCTATCACTGAGCTACCAAGACTCTCATAATAATTAAGTGTTTTTTTTTATAGAAAAGTAGAGTAGCGAGAATAGGGCTCACTTGATGGTAAGTGATCACCGTCGCCCATGAGGATCTGCGACACCAGAGGAATAGCATATGCTCGCCAGCCTTTTACGAAGAAGTAGGCTCTTTTATTGAAGGGAGATACTTACACATAATCTGAACATACAGGCAGTAATGCAATTAAATAATGGAGTTGTCTAATTATACGATAATCGGACGATTAATTTTTTTCTTATTTTTTATAGAATAAGGGTGACAAACGAGCACACAATCCATCTAATGGTAAGTTGATGCTGTGGCTCATAGACATCTACATTTAACCTCGATTAAGAATCAAAATGCAGATGCGTTGTCTCCCCTCAGGACTAAGACGGAAAGGCTCGATTCCAGTTAAACGGATCTCTGGTTCTCTACACTCACCACACGAAACACAGCAGTATTAAGCTACTATTTCATGGTGGTCATTCCCCGGTCGAGCAGATCCCATTCGTGCTTCAACCATAATATATCTGCAGCATGGCTCTACCACGTAGAAAACGAATACGATTTATACGATTATCGAACGATTTATTTATTTTTATTCATCCAATATATTTTCAATATTTTAAATTTTGAAAATTAAGGCTTTAGCGTCTAATAATGGATTACACCAAGTTTGTAGGTTAATGGCGGCTGAAAAGGTCCTCGAGACCTCCTAAAGCCGCGTATATTATAATGATAAAAAATATAATACTGAAAGTATTGAACTTTTTAATGTTAGAAATTATCGAACGAATAAGTTTTTCGTATGATTATCGTATGAATAATAAAAATAAAATATTATTCCTGTTATTTTCCAATAGCATCCAGGTGAACAACATAACTGGTAGAAATGCAATGGGCACCGTGCGAATATTCATGGCGCCAACTGTTGATGAGAATGGTACTCCCCTACCCTTCGACGACCAAAGGAAACTCATGATTGAGCTGGACAAGTTCTCAACAGCATGTAAGTGAAGATTACTTTTCATACACACATAATTATAAACGTACAGTAAAAATCTTAACCTAATATTTTGTATATTTACATTCGCATATCTCTTCCCCCCACTAGTCTGTCCCATTAGCCTGTCCCATTTCAATTCTTTTCTTCCCTTCGACAGTTGAACGAAAATAAAACTGCGCACCGCGGCCTTATTTACTAGATATATTTAGATATATCTCCTACTAATAATGATGTTAACTCTTCTGCATATTTAAATTTGACTGCTGAACATGGTCTTCTTCCCTCCCACTTAATATCTACGCACAATCGTACGTATCTTGACCATGTTCTGTTCAAAACCACTTACCCAGCTTTTATTATTGTTGTTGAAGTCACTGTGACTGATCACTTTGCGGTGATACTCTCTCTTTCAAAGAAAGTGCAGTACATTCCACCTAAGAGTGTTCACAAGATAAACGAAGAAAAGTTGAGTCAAAGTCTCTTAAGTGTAGATTTTGAGAGCCTGTTAAATTTAGATGACCCCGATTCTGCGATGGAATATTTTATAAATGCTATACGTAACTCCATCTTCTACGCGACTATAACTTATATCCCATCCCGCAGGCGCAGAATACTTAAGCCGTGGATGACTCCAGGACTCCTAAAGTGGCTCAGAAATAGGGACAACTTACACAAAAAGTTTAATAAATCACCCGATAACGTGGTTCTCAAAGTAAGCTATAAGCGCTACAGAAATTATTGCAATTCTTTGCTCAAGAGCGTTAAACGTTATTATGAAAGAAATAAATTTGCTGAGGCTGGAAAAGACTCAAAACGTATTTGGGAGATAATAAACCAAGTTACCAATACTAGCCCTAGAACAACACCAGGCCACGAATTATTACAATTGTGTCCATTCCCATGTGAATCGGCCGATAGAGTTAACTCCTTCTTTATCAATTCTGGCAAAATCCTTGCTGAAAAATTTGACCAAACGACAGCTATCTCAACCCATGCTACTTCTGCGGTTTCAAGTCCTAATTTAATAGAAAACTCTTTCGTTCTTTTAAATACAGACGAAAAAGAAGTTGAACGGATTATCATTGCTTTAAAATCAGATAAAGCTGTTGGATGGGATGGTATCTCCACTGGTCTTCTGAAAAAAGTACAAAGACATCCTAGTGCCTCCTCTGACATTTATTATCAACTTGTGTTTGACGGCAGGTGTTTTTCCAAGGGTGCTGAAAAAAGCTGTTGTTCATCCAATTTACAAAAATGGTGATCAAAGTCTACCTAATAATTATCGTCCTATATCAATACTGCCGTCAATCTCTAAGGTTTTTGAAAAAATCATAAACTCTAGACTAGTGAACTACCTTGAGCAAAAGAATTTATTATCAAATGTCCAGTTCGGTTTTCGTGCAAAAAAATCAACATCAGATGTTTTACTTTCGGTTACCAACTACATTACGCAAAACTTAGATAGGGGTAGAAAGAGTTTAGCCATCTTTCTCGATCTAGAGAAAGCTTTTGACACCGTGTCAATTCCACTGTTGCTCCAAAAGCTTGAGGATATTGGCGTGCGAGGCTGTCAACTTACATTATTTTCTAGCTATCTCAGTGGCCGATGTCAGTGTGTCAAGTTGTCTAATAGTGTCATCAGCTCTGATTCTCCTGTCTTTTTTGGTGTTCCTCAGGGCAGTATACTTGGTCCGACCCTATTCCTCATTTTTATTAATGATTTGTGTAACCTTAATCTTCACAATGGCAAGATAATTACATTTGCTGATGACACAGCTCTCCTTTTTTCTGGAAGCACCTGGGAGGATGTCTTCCGGCAATCTCAGGTTGGGTTTAATATGGTATGTGCTTGGCTTAGGAAGAACTTACTATGCCTTTTGCAATCCGTACCTCATCCTTACCTGTAGACGCGCATAAAATCATTGCTCACTGTTGTGCTAATTCTAACACTTTAGATTGTTCCTGTCCCGTTTAAGAGAAGACTAATAGTATCAAGTATCTTGGTATATTATTTGACAACACCTTAACATTCCGTTCTCATATTAAAACACTATGTGGTAGAGTGCGTAAATTGATTTTTATATTTAAAAAATTAAGACATGTTGCTAATAGAGAAGTCCTAAAATTGGCCTATTATGCTTTGTGTCAATCTTTATTAACATACGGAATTGAAGTCTGGGGTGGTGCAGCCAAAACACATATTATTGAACTAGAGCGTGCGCAAAGATCACTTTTAAAAGTTATGCATTTTAAACCCTACTTATATCCAACTTTATATTTGTATAGAATAAGCGAAGTTGTTACAGTTCGACAACTATCTGTGCTACATATAGTTTTAAGACAACATACAATTTCAAAAATAACTCAAAAGGAACATTGCTGCCGTAACATCTGGTAGCTCAGTCAGTGCCTTTCTTCACATCTTTTGCTAGGAAATTCTTTACTTTTTTGGGTCCGTATTTATATAATAAATTACACCAAAAATTATCTATTTATGAAGTCAACAGATGGTCATGTAAAAATAGACTCGTGGAATATCTTCAGACTCTTTCATACACAGATACAGAACAATTATTCCAAATTATCTCATAAATATTCACAGACATACACGCACACATGCTAACAGTCACAAACTCTCATACTTACGCTACAAAAATACATGTTTTTTTTTATTTTTTATTTTATATTTTTTATTTTTTCTCTATATATTAATATTTCTAACCATAACATAAGTAATCTCCCTATAATATTATACTTGTTGCCAAGTAAATTCGGGGGGGGGCTGGTGACCTGTAATACAGGTCTTTGAACCTACACGGGCACCAGTCTCCCATGAATGACAAAATATTGTTAAAATAGAGATGTAACACTAATGTATCTTCCATGTCGTTTGTGGTGAGAAATAAATAAATTATTATTATTATTATATTTTGTACATATATATATTCTCCCTATTAAAGAGGTAGCTTAAAACCTAATATTATTATATATCTGTGGTCTCGTGCTCTAGCCTACTATAATTCTTTTATATTTCCGTAATATTATTACTTTCTCTTTATATCTACAACATCAATCATAAAAATTGTACAAATAAGGGTATAATTTTATTCATTTAATCACAAATAAAAACTAAATATATTATATATATAATATACTATAAACTGCAATAATAATTATTTATTAACATGTGGGTGCGTAAAATTTTCTTTCAAGTATAACATATCACAAAAGCACCAAGGTTGTGTAAGGCGGCCAACTGTTCAGTGTTCTGTGAATCAGTTTTAGTGTCGCAGTCACTTTACCTTAAAGTGATAGAGACAGCACGAGACTTAACGGCATCTGAAAATTGGGTAGCATTTATATTTGGATACAAAGTATGTATTAAATATAATACCTCATTGTAATAACTAACATAATTCGACTCTATATCTTCTTACGCCGATATTACACGGTTCAACCAAATTGAAACAATCCCATTGAAAAGCACATTAAATTGCACATTGAACGACTTTACCAATATACACATATACCATTTAAATGACATTCAATGTTCACAACGCATTGCGATGTCGCGCCAACTCGTACTTGCGGGAATTTAGTTAATCTGCAACTATTTAATAAATGAGTTAAATAAAAGAAAATCTCGGTGTTGTTAAATGCGCCCGTGGATTTCGAGAAGCATAACTGAAGGAGCCTCAAGCACCTTATTAGTACGAGTAGAATTGGCAGAAGAAGATTCAAATTGATATTTGAACCATTTGCGAATGACGGAAAGTCAATTTAATGAACTTCTTGAAAAGGATACACTTGTCGGACTGTCATGCCACTTAAAAACCCATTTTAAACTTCAATGTGCGCAGGCGAAATAGGTGCGCGTGCGTAGGCTTCGCAGTCGTACGGCGCGCGGATGAGTCACATTGATCAATATTGCCACAATTCCATTGAAAGGGTTCGGCAAATCTTAGCTTTCAATGAGATTGCGTAATCGCATTGAAATGTATTTAGACGTAATAATACCATTGAAGCAATAAAATTGAAAGTAATATTGAACTGAAATTGAACCGTGTAATATCGGCTTAGTGTGAAGAAAACTTTGGCCCCTCTTTTTAAGTACATTGCGCGCACGGAGGAGTGTAATTTGGCATAGTTAAAATTTACCTCCATATAAATTTTGTAAATTGTAAAAAGCTAAAGATTTTAAAAATACAAAATGTGTTACAAATATATTAAATTCAATTAAATAAAACATTTATTGCACATACTGCTAATGTCAAACATAAAATAGTCTATGATCAAACAGTGTTATCGTTACAGCCTATTAAAGTCCACTGCTGAACATAGGCATTCATAGATTTCCTAATATGCGGGTTAGCAATCGCAGTATTTTTATTTTTAAACAATATTAAGAAGACGCTGCTGCCCATCTCCTGATTTGTTTCCATCTGTCGTCATTTACGACACAAATAGTTTTGGTCAAACAGTCGCACAGAAAACAGAATTAGGCTTGGCTAAATATATCGATATATTGAATTATCAATATTAAATTATTGATATTAATCATCGATATTTTTAATTGCGATATATCAATATTTGATATTTATTTTAGAGTATCGAATTCGTATCAATTTCGACATATATTCAAATGTTATATTTATTTTATAATTTAAGAGACAAAACATGAAGAAACAAAAGCAATGTTTCTTTTTCACTGTCGAAACATACAGAAATAAAATTTTGACTCTCATCCCACTACACGACTAAAAACGTCGGGAACAAAAAATAATTTAAATTAAACGTGACAAAATCCGTAAAAGCAGTTATATTCAATGCTTTAAAGTCTTAATTTGATTAGACCGCAAATTTGTTAACGGTGTTTCACTTGTGTGCAGTACGTCCCGGAATGAACATGGTGACAAGAAGAAGCCTGGACTCCTCAGTGACGATCCCGTACGAACGTACGTTCCGCAACCAAGCCAATAGACCAGGAGACTCCGGTTCTGCGGAAGCCGCCGCGTTCGACTTCTGCGGTTGTGGATGGCCGCACCATATGCTCCTACCTAAAGGAACTACAACGGGATACCCTATTGTCCTATTTGCCATGGTGTCCAACTGGGCTGATGATAGTGTGAGTCATTAGGTGTAGATATTATTCAAATTCAGTAACAAAGTGCCTACGACTTGCAAATTTTTCGGAAGCATTAACCTACTTGTATTTTATAACAGTTTTATTCCATCGGTCCATTATAGCCTATAAAATTCCACTGCCGATTATGAACCGGAGACCTTTTTTACTGGAAACGAGGCATTTCATTTTAGTCCTCATGAGTGACAACGCTTCTGAATTTTGATTCGTAATCGAGGATAAATGTAGATATCTTTAGGCCACAGCAACTTACCATCTGGTGGACTGTGTGCTCGTTTGTCTCCGTATCATATAAAACATAGGCCTCCCCCATTGATCGCCTCATACTTACGTTATAGTTGCCGCACTTTGCAGGAGGGCAGACAATCGCAGTTCCTACAATTTCGAGTGTTTACCAGAAATGTGCTGCCTATCTCCTGTTTAAAGTTTCCTTCTGTCGCTTCTTACGGCACCTACAGGCTTATAGGGGTAGTGGATATTCTTATACCCTCACTACACGTTTAGTCGTTATTATTTGTCCTACCTTTTGTTACGAAACATAGAAACTGTGCATCCTCACGCAATTTCTTCTTCATAAAACTGAAATGTCACACGAACTTACTGTGCACACGATGGTAAATGACTTTTACATCCCGTTGCGTGCAACGAATTTTAAACGAGGAGAGGAAGGGATACAAATAAGTTGTCGCCTCTGAGAACTAAGATTAGTCTGTAGTTATAATGACCTTGAGTTCAACCAAAATACAGCAGTGCACGCTCTGCTACTTGTTGGCGGAAATAGGTAAGATGTAGATAGTAGTTACGAGAGGTGGCAGCTACCCGGGCGGAATCCTCCATTCATCCCCTTACCACCAGGTGGACTGTGTATCGTTTGTCACCCTAATCCTATAAAAAATTAAGTTTATCATTTTTGAATAAACACAGCCTACAACAGAGTATATATATTATTTTCTAGGTCTGTCTGGTTTACAGAACTTCACTATTCTATATAACTATAGAGGCATTTCTAAGCACATTAATATCCTCCCAAGAATCTAGCGTCAAAAATATAGTATCACCGCCATCTTGGCGGTCATGAAATATTTGTGGGTCTTTCGAAAGTCGCTTTATACAGTAACTACTAAATTAAATAAGGTTATTTTACGCACTTAATATTATAATTACAGCCATTCACAAGTCCACGGTTGAATATAGATCTCGCCCAAAGAATTACGCAAACACGATCCTCGGCCATCTACATCAATCGACTTCCTGCATCTCTTACCAGGTCATCACTCCATCTAGTGGAAGGCCACCCTAGTTTGATAAAATTCTAATTTTAATAGTTATCTATACTTGAACTGAGCAAAATATTTGTATGTCAACAGATCAAACAAGACACCGTAGGCACTTGTAATGATGCTGCTTCATACTGTGGCATCCGCGACCGGCGTTACCCAGACCGTCGTGCAATGGGCTTCCCCTTCGACCGCCCAGCTCATAAAGGCGTCAACACTTTAAACGACTTCCTCCTGCCCAACATGGCAATGACTAATTGCCGAATAAAATTCACCAATGCCACCAGGGAAAGACCTAGAAAAGCCTAAATGATTTGACTATATATACAATATGTAACGAAACCCCGTGGTTCCGTTAAGTTCGTTAACAGAAACAGTATTCAAATGTACCTATAGAAATAACTACTTCAGAACGTTTGCATTTGCCGGATAATGTCAGATGCAATAAAACCATGCAAATGAAAATGTATTTAAATTTGATTTAATTTTTTTACGGTCGTGTTTTCTGAAGTAAAGTAGATAACGAGCTCAACGCGAACCCGAGTTTTTGTTACATATTGCACAATCGCTATATTGAATTTGTCTTCGCTTCAAAATTAACTTCTAAAATGATTTATTGTTTTTAATATAAGTGGTCAAATTATTTAAGTTTAGCTGTGTAAATACTATTTTAACGTTTGTTTAATTTATAAGACTGAATAAATCAAGCCTTTCGACAAAACTGTGTTATTTTAATAATACTTTAATCTTTTAAGTGACACACTTTAAAGTTCTTCGAACCGTCTAAGAAATATACTGATTTCCATCAGTATATTTTTTTTATTTTATAAGCCAATGCTGGGGTATTTCACAGTATTTCGCAGTATATTAAATTATACACTGTGAAGTACCCAAGAAAAATGGAGCACGATTATTAATGACTGGTGCCCTAGAGATGGTAAAAGGAAAAGAGAAAGGCAAAGAAAAAGATGAGAGGATGAGAGGATGGGATAAAATTAACAGCCAGCCCAAACTGAAGAAGGATTGCTAGAGATAGAAAGCAATTAAAAATCAGAAATATTTATTGACCATAATATAACAATCGTTACAGGCAAGTCATTGGCTACAAAAGTTTTTATACATTTATAAGGTTAAATTATATTATTGTACTATGTAGCTTAATTTACGAGTAGTTACATTGACGCTTTACGTCACAGAATTAGGTAATTTTTTTTTCATTGGAAGTTGTTAAAGGAGGCCTTTGTCAAGAGCCACAGTCATCGTTATCAAATCCTTACTTCTATGTACTTTTCCTTGTAAAGAGGAAAGAGTTCAATTTTTTTCTCAATTTTATCTATCGGCACGAACGCTACTAAAAATGAATATTACTCTCGAGGAACGAACTCTAGCAGTAAGAAAACGGAAATATTGGTTCTTAATTCCGAATTTGAATCTCACGAATGGTATCATGAAACAACTTCACCAGAGTATTAGATATTATTCAGTATGCACAGTAATAAGCCTAAGGTGTATGGTGCATATTAGCTTGGCTAAGATAGGTACCCAATTAAGAATCAAAATGCAGATGCGTTGTCACCCCAAAGTGTCAGTAAAAAGGGTCTCCGGTTCTCCACATTGCCAATACGAAACACAGCAGCATTAAGCTACTATTTAACGCTGTTATTATGTGAGAACGTGGTGCTATCGAGGTGACCCATTCTCTCTACCACGTAAAAATATGTAATATAAGACATGATAACACGGTACCTTATTGGAGGCTATGAGACGTCTCTGACTTTATGATCATTTGAATTTTATGAAACTAACGAGATAAGCGCTTTTCTTAAAACATCAATGACAATGTTTATTGAAATTCTGATTTACCTACTTGGCAGTAAAAGCTAATATTGTCAGTTTCCTCACAAATTCATCGCATCATCATCATCATCATCATCATCATCATCACAGCCCTTTACAAGTCCTCTGCTGAACATACGCCTGCCCCATGGAATGCCATAAAGTTCGGCTCTGAGACACCTGCATCAATTTGAGATGAGTTTATCACGTAGAGAAACCCCAAACACTAACCTCTCCATAGCTCACTGTGCGACTTTGAGCTTCCTCATACAGCCAGCATTGAAGAAACACTTCTCAGCTCCATATATAACCCATCACTGCCAGTTGAGAAATTTAAAAAACAATTTCTTTCATTAGTTTTTCCTCTTAATTTGATTTTGCTTTTCTTAATTCTTAATTTCTTAAGGTAATTTAAAAAAAAAACAGATTTAATGAAAGCGAGTAGCGTGACCTTGTCAAGTCGATATAGTAGCCCAACCTCTTCGCTTTGCGTTTGAGGTGTAACGTGTAACAATATTATGAGTACATGTACTCCTAAAATTAAACGATATAAGCGAGAAAAGCGCAGACATACCTCAGTAAATACTGCAAATTAAGGCAGTGCGACGTATTTTGTAGGCTTGTTAATTTACTTTTAATTGCATATTCCATGACTTTAACCGTAACAGCCTCCTAATTTTCACAGCTGAATTAGACTCCTCCATAGATTTTCTCTCTCTCTTGAGCCGTGGTAGCTCAGATGGTTAACTCTCGCTGTAAATATAACAGAACGCGAGTAACCCGGATTCGATCCCCGCCGGCACCAATGAATTTGTTAATTGCAATTTTAAGTGCTGATTTACCACGTGCTCGGCGGTGAAGGAAAACTGAGGAAAATTGCATGTCTGAGCAACAAGAAAAAAAATATTTAGAAGACATGTGAAGTTCGCCAAACGCACTGGGCAGCGCGGCGGACACTTCCTTGCCCTAAAACGCTCTCAGAAATAAGGGGAGGCCTGTGCCCAGCAGTGGAACGTATATAGGCTGTAACTTTTTTATATATATATATATATATATATATATATATATATATATATATATATATATATATATATATATATATATATATATTCATCTCTGTCCACAATATATGTTATTTTATCCCCAACTTTTAAAATTTTAAGAACTATTAATTATTAGATGTATCCTAAGACTTAGATGCCTAATATCAAATATTTCTTACGCATAATTCCTTTAGAATAATCTTTTATATTTGAATTATAATACTAAGTCTATTACAATAAACCATTCCGCCCCACCTTATAGTAAACGTAATCGCTCCGAGAAGTCTGCAGTCTTTGAACATGTACAGAATAATCCCCTACATTAATTCACATTTCATAATCAAAAAACCTCGCAAAAAAACACTGATTCATAACAAGGATGATTCATGAGTCTATTGAATTTAAAAAACACCCTAATTTCATTAGAGAAGATGGCTGAGTGCTACCATCTGCTTGGGATCCCATACACAAACCCTAGCATAATACTACAAGATATCAAGACGTTACAAGCTCATTTTACATGAATCGGACCAAAAGTTAAAGCTGAATTGAAAGCTGAAGGTAGACTGGATGAAGTATGATATTAAAAGATCAAGCACTTCGATTCAAAATTCAGCAATTCAATTTTCTGCTCCTTTGACGAAAAATTCATCTTTTTCAATAAAAATAGTAAGGGATTCGTCGAAAGGTTAAACAGATGTCTAAAAGCTGTAGTCAACACTTAAAATCCTTCGGACTGAAAACTTGTTTGTAGACTTTTATCCATATTCCTTAAATACAACCTATCAAAGTCTTGTTGAACATAGACTTTCCCCATGAGTTAGCTTATAGAGCAAATTATTTTACAGAATAAAAAATGTATTTGTAGATACCTCTCATATATTTATATCCCCGTACAGCAACGGAGGCGTTCCATGTCTAGAAGTGAACATTTACTACCTGATGAAGGTGGACTGTTAGCTCGTACTTTATTCGTATACTATTGAAAACCCACCAACTATAAACACTTTTCAACCGACTTCAAAAAAAGAGGAGGTACTCAATTCGACTGCATGTTTTTTATGTGTGTTATCTTAAAACTTTTTTCTAGGTAAACCGATTTCGATTATTCTTTTATTTATAAGCCGATGCTTCTCGTGTGGTCCCATATAAATTTGATCAAGGTCTGATCTTTAATAATGCGTATTTGACTTTGAATACATTAAAGATGTTCTTATTTTGTTTAAATTGAAGTCGCTTGTACAACTATTTTAATTTTACTATTTGTGTTACTATTTAAGTTCAGACCAACAATGACAGATATAAATAGATCACTACGTACGTTTCAATGGATGTCGAAACCATCTTTAACTTAATGTAAGAACAAGTAGTACTCACGCACACACATTTCAAGATGCACCTAAAATCATTTGTAACCATCGATATCGTTTTAGGTGCTTATGTACGTATATATACTTTATTGTACATCACAATATATAAAAAAATCGATTACAAAATGAAAAACAAAGGAAATAGGTATAATAAGGCGGTTTCATTTCTATAGAGTGATCTCTTCCAACCTTAAGATTAAGAAAAAGTAGAACTATTGGACAGTGGGAAGTTGCATAGAATGATTATTATATTACCAGCGATATGTCGTGGCTTTGCACAGTAATTTCTGAATCTTGACAACAGCGCAACCTACCGGGTCTAGTTTATAAAAAATCCAGGGACCTACTCGAATAAGCATAAAAAAATTCATAAATTTATTGTTTGAATGTATTCACTTCACCGTAAATTTATTGTTTGAATATAGATGATTTGTTTTACCTAGAAGTCAGAACCCTACCTAGTGGTTGAATCGTAGCCATTGGTTGTTAAGTAATGTACTGTTATGGACCGTTGTATAAGTGAGTAATTGCTAGTGTAGGTCATACAAACACTGTCACACATTACTTTTTGTTTACTTCTCACTTTTATTGCAATTATTAGATGGAATATTATTGTTTACTATTTTTAAATTAATTTAAAATGAAGAGCTAATGTTTACGTGGGCAGCGCCTCTGTCATATTTATATATATATATATATATATATATTATGACAAAATTAAACACACACCCAAGCATACCACTGCAAGACTTCATGATACTATAAGCTCGTTTTGCGTAAATCGGACCAACAATTCATATTAAAAAACTGAAGGTAGCCAGACTAACTATGACATTGGGACGTCAAACATCTCAGCCCCCCCCCCCGTGACCAGTTAGTAGTAGTAATTAAATGCGATAAAATTCGTAAATAATAGTTTTATTCAATGATAATAAAAATCGGATTTCGATCGAATTACAGTGTTCGCGTAAAATTAAGAAATCATTAGGATTTTTAATTTAGGATATTAAAGTCGAGTCTCCTGTTCATTAGAATTTCAAGCAAGCTCTTATTACATTGC